ATAATAAACAAAAAAAATTCAATTAAAATAACAAATAAAATTATTTTAATTACCTGACGAAATGTTTGATAGAGTAAATAAATTAAATCAATTGTTACTTGTTCAAATATAGTAAATAATTTTAAAATAAAATTTCCATGTGTCATTAAACATGATAATGCAATATAAACTTCAGTTTTTAATAATGGATAAACAAGAAGTTCTTGTTCACCTGGATTATTTTGTACATCAAAACTACCATCAGCTGTTATCTAAGAATAATATATTAAATTGTCATTAAATCATTGAATATTATTGAAGAAACTATAAAATTTGAATTCATCATAGACATTGATTTTCACAATTTTAGATTAATTTACAAATATTGAAAAGAAAAACACATTATTTTACTTTCAATCAAATAAAATGAAAGTTATGGTTATAAATTAATTACGGCCAAAAGAATTTTCGAGTCTACGTTAAATTGACCTCATTAACCTATATAGAAAGCATTATTTCTTTAAATAGTTTCTACATTCCATAGTGGTGAACAGTATGCATTTCCATCAAGACTTATTGCTCAGCAGTATGAATTTAGCTCATACTATGGTTATAGCGTCTTGCTGAGTACTATATCATTCTGCTCAGCACTTTGAAATATAGCAACTAATTAAAGAAATAAGGCTTTTTATAAGCGTTGATGAGGTCTATTTAACGCAGAGTCAGAAATTTATTGGATCAATATTCTTCTAACTGAAAAAAATAAACTAACTAGTGAAAAATAATTTCGTTTTACAGTAAGTAAAGTTGCATCATCTCATTTTTATTGAGCTTCCAACATACGGATTCCGTCCAGCGAATAACCAATCAACAAACATGATATTATATATACAGGGTATGTCGAAAGTAATTATACAAAGAAGACCTTTGAATATTTCCCTCATAGTTTTATTTGATGAACTGGTTTTCGTACTAGTAATAGGGAACACCTTCAAGTTTCTATCGACGTATGTTCCAAGTGCTTGAATATTCTTACAAAGTAGCACTTTTAGATTTAACAAATAAAGAAATGCTTTTTCGACTTTCGAAAAACAGTACATAGGCAAAAATCATTCGTTCACGATGTGATTTGACGAAATTAAAGTACGTATAACTCGAAATAATGGGAGTATGAAGAGTTTTTAGATGACTTGAAAAGGTTTCTAGGTAATCAGTCGTTTAAAGGAAGTCTTTTGAAGTCTGTGCTCTACTAAAAATTCTCCTGTAGATGCTGTTCATAATGTACAGCCTATCCTGAAGTTTCCGATTTTTTTGTTCATATGATTAGAGATATATTCGCTAATTTACTTTTAATTGTGAGTTAGCTGAAAGGGTCAACATTTTACTATGTGGCTATATTTAAAAGAACTCTTCTAAAGAATCAATGTCAAATGAAAAGTACCTATGTTCGGTTTTGCCTGAAATAGTTAACATATGAACAGAAGCTTGGAAGTATCTTCTATCGCGAATACTAATACAAACCTATGCATAGATTTTGTCTGTTTAGCAAATTGATATCTCTTTTACTTTCTTCAAACGTACAAGTGAAAAACAGAATCTAGCTTTTTCCTTATTTTAAAAGTAAGGAAAATGATAATCAATATTAGTGACTACACGCTATTACAAAAGGATGTTTCATAAGTATTGTCTTGATTTTAATTTTTTTTTGTGTCTATCAATCTTAAGAAAGTGCTGCATTAGAAAAAAAAAACAGTGAAAAATTCTATCATTTTTTATAGATATGAAAGAGATCGTAATAGAAATCTGTGTTGAAAATATCACAAGTAAAGTAGTCTGATCGTTATTCGTTATATGTTGAGATAAAAATATAATTATAGTTTAAAAATAGCAGCTAATCGTTCATTCATAATAAATCACTTTTGTCATTCTATTGCTAAAGCACCCTAATCATACGAGAGAAAATTTGAACATTCATGTTTTTCGCGTGAACAGAATTTAATTAAAAATTTTCAAATTTCAGAGATAGTCAGTGAGCCATAAAAAACCACTATGACGCACTACTTTATGCCAATCTTCCATGCATGCAATGTCTTGTCACACACATTGATTAAACATAGTCTCTAAACTTCTGTTCGTTTAGTTCGAACATGATATTATGGTACTACTGTTTTTCATATGTGCGCAAAAAGAAATTTTCTCTTACTTGAATATAGTGTAACAAGAATAGAGCAACAAAAGTGACTCACAGTGAATAACTGCTATTTTTTTCGTAACCCTGATAACAAAAAGATTTTTTTTCAAAAAACTTAATAGAATTTTTTAATATTTTTACTAACGTAGCACTTTCTTAGAGTTAATGAAGATCGAGTGCAATTTATATTGAATAATAGATTAGATGTTATTTTCCAAAAAGAATCGTCAATGCTCGTTCATCTTAATATAGGACAAAAAAAATTTTTCAAATTAAAATGATAATGATGCTTCCAGAACATATTTTAACCCTGTTTTTTTTAGTGTTAATAGCACCAAGATATGATTTAAATCTACAAATGTATACGAACTAGTGATCACACTTTAGAAGTAGAAAGACATCAAGTGATTCACTTGTTGTTTTGCGTCATTTGAAATGATCTCTAGGTTGTTGTTACTACTTATAGAAAAGCCTACTGTTTCATATAATATAAAAGTTTGAAAACCATACTATCACTGGCATAGTAGTTGCTGGATGTCAATTAACTTCGATCTAGGTTCAGCTACGAAAAGTCATAACCGCACAAGACACTAATACGAACGAACCATTGTGATTTTCATGTTTCATTCGATAGAAATAATTATTATGCAAAGTTATTCTTTGCATCTATTTGCATTGATGATCAATTAAATCTAGTACTCATTGTTTTAAATGAAATATCACTGTCATTCTCCCCTTTCCGTATTTGTCAACAATACAGAAATCAAGAATCTTTGTCATAATAACTAATTACTTAAACAATGATTGCCTTTTAAAAAACACAATGAAAAAGCTGTTAGCACAATCCCTTCAGGACTAAAATGCGAAACATGATATAGACCCTATTCATAATTACCGGAAGCTTGTTTTATCGTATTTATTTTGGAAAACATTTCTTCACCATTATTTTACCTAATTCTCTACAAATGTCATAAGGAAGTAGTTCATATATTAGAATGAAGCATTATTGATATATCTATCTAACACGATCTGAGGAAGAAGGGTAAAGTTTTATTCCTATACTTCAACACGTCTTTTAGATCATGTTTCATAAAATGAAGTAATGCAATCTTACTGGTTCAGAAAAACGGTCATTTTTTATTAATTCTCTTAACTTTTCATCAAAATGGAGAAGCTACGCAGTTCATTCATGTTCTTCAATGAAAGATTATGATTCTGAAACTTCATCAAATTTCTATTTGAATGTATATTCTAATAACTTTTCGTATTAGAATGCAAAAAAAAAAAACGAAAGTTTAATTGAATAATTCTAAAACATATTCTTCTTCTTGATATTGTACTAAACTTACCAAGCGAATCTCCATGGATTGAAAACGTGAAATATAATGATTAATGTTTTCTTGATTCATTATATTTCCACTATTATCACTTCCAAAATCCCAATGATTTTCATCAATTGTATGATATATAAGACGATCATCATCAATAAGCATTGCTACCGTTGATTCATCATGTTCATAATAAGGATTTAAAGTTTGAGCAAACCATTGCCATTCGATATTTTGAGTTTTTTCTAATATAAAATATATTATAAAAATTATTTTATTTATGAAAAAAAAAACAAAACATTAATTTTACCATGAGTAACAAGAAAATGATTAAGAGCAGAAATAAATGCACCAGGTGCTTCACATAAATGAAGTGTTATCCATTTTTGATTATTTTCACAATTAATTAAATCAAAATTTGCTAAAATTTCATACATTTTTGCCCATGCTTGTGTACCAATTTCAATATTTAATTTTTCACGTAAATATGGTACAATAGTCGAAGCAGTATTCATATGAGCAGTATGTCTTTAAAACAAATAAAGAAAGAAAAAAAAAAAAAGTCGATTCATAAATACAAAATCAACTTAATTTTAATTAATTTTTTATATGACAAGATTTATTAATTTATTTTAGATTTCGAGGAAATAGTAGCTGAACTTCTGTTTCTTATCAAAGTGATTGATGATTATTATCATTTGACTGTTATATGTTCTTTCATTCTTCTCTTTCCTATATCAATCAATATGATTAATGATACAATGTGTGCGAACCTGTTCCAATCGATAATATCTTTATCAGAAAGTAATGATTTAACATCGTTAAGTTGTTGCTTGATTGTAGTTAATTTTTCCAATAAACATGATACATTGTCATTTCCAATAGAATTACTAAAATTACAATGAATAATTCTTCTTTTTTTTTTTTTTTTTTTTCTAATTATTCATGTAATTACTTCTCAACAAAATCAAATCGTATGTTTGTATGCTCTAATGATGATAATATTGATTTATTATCTTCTATTTCTCTACGTTTAACAGTATCAGGATATTCATATTCATATTGTCGTTTTCTTGTTGTTATCAATCCCTCAATAGGTCTTTTATCTTCATTCATTTTTATTTGTCTAAAATAAATACACAAATCATATATAAATCTTTGATCCAAGTCGGTAACTCATTAGTGCTTTTTTTTTCTTTGCCAATATTTGATAATTAGCGAGAATACAATTATTTTGTAGTTAAATAAAGTATTGTTTTTTCGCTTACAAATTATTTGCAAAGTAAAACAATAAACAAGAAGAAAGAAAAAGGCGAAACATCCCAAAACCCAGAAGAAACAAAAAAAACCTAATCACTGTCAATTCTATTTTTCGCTAATCTGACACAACCTGTTTTCGATAAATAGTTTTATACGCACACATTTAAAATAATAAAAAAGCGATACGCATAAAAACAAAAGACAGAAAGCATTCTCAGTATGTATATGTTTTATATGTATATTTAAAAAAGTTTCAAACGTTTCTTCAGATCAATACGTCGCCATTCAGGTAAGCTATAGAATTCTGATCGTGTCATTTGAAATAATGTATGAAATTCATCATTCGATAGATGACGCTAAAGAAAGAAAAAAAAGAATTGAACATTAAAGATAAGAAGACAAAAAAAAGAGAAATTTTAATAACAAACTTCAAGATGATCTCGATCAACATTTGATGGTAATCGTTTTTTCGATAAAACTTTTAATTCTTCATATAAATAAATCTTTGGATTACTCATTAAAGCTGGAGCAGAATGAGTTGAATGTGTATATCGACCATCAATATCAATTCTCTTCAAAAACAAAAGTAAATAATTAAAATTAAAAAATCTTTTTTTTGCAATCTTATAAATATCAAATGAAAATGTTTTCTTTTTTTTTTCATACAAACCTTTACTAATTTATCGTGATCTCTATCATTTGAATCTATAAATATAAAAAAATAATAAATTAACAATATAATTAATAAATAATATCTTACAACATGAATTTGTTGTTGAATCTATATCACAATGTCTTTGTATATCAAGATGATTAGATAATGTTTGAGTTTTAAGTGATGATGGTACAATATTATCATCATGTCGAAAAACTAATATTTCATTATGTTGCTGATATCTTGGTAGAGTTATATGTTTTCCACCTGCTGGTGTTGTTGATATTGATGTTGATAAACCAGTAAGACTATCATCATGATTAGTTATAGATGATGAATGTGTATGAACACGTCTTGATGGTGAAGCAAATTTAGGTGAATCAAAACGACAACGTCGTGGTGGTTCAATAGCTGCTGATGGTGAACGTGATGCTTTCCATGGGTCAAGTGGTAATTGTTTTGAAATGATCTTTTCTTGTAGACGTAAATCTTCAAGTAATGCATGAGCCATACCAGATGTATCTTTTATTTTTGACATAACATTAATATCTTTTTCTAATTTTTCATCATGACGCAATTCATTATTATCCTCATTATTATTATTATTATTATTATTATTATTATTAGAATCGAAATTATCATTTGGAATTTGTTGATCATTTGTATTCGAAATTTTATGTATGATTTCATTTGGATTTGAATAAGATTCACTTCGACTTCGATAAGATTTCATTAATTCAGGTACAGCTTGAATTGCAATTGGTGCTGGCCAATCAAGTGATTCAATTTTTTTTGGTGCTGTTGGATCAGGAATAAAACCACCTGAATATCGAGAAAGAACAATAGGTTCTTGTTCAATTTTTAATTCATTTTCATTCATTGTTGATACAGATGGTGATGTAGAACAATGAATTTTACGAATTTTTGTTTGTCCTGATCAAAAATAAAATAAAAGACAAAAAGAATTAATATGAAATTTCATATATATGAATTAGTAATATATACCAGTCAGTAAAGCTTTCATTCCTTTTTTAGTACCAGGTACTGTAAATGTTTGTGTTCGATTATATGAAAAACCGACTAAAAAAAAAGAAAAATCAAATCATTTTTTTCCTCTTATTGATAAGATATAAATACTTTCAACAAAAAAAAAAAAAAAAAAAAAAACTTTATAAATGACATAACTTTTCAAGTATACCTATTCATTTTATAAAAGTATGTCAAGATCATTTCAAGGATTTTAATAACTGTTTCTTCATGGTTCATTTTTCATTGATATTAAATAATGTATAAAATCATATATTCTTTTCTTCTAGCACATACATACATACACACACATATATATATATATATGTATAAAGCTGATTATAGTGCTGTTTATGTATCATGATCGCCTGCAGACAATATACCACTTTGCCTTTACTCTTGGCTCTTTTTGATAAGTAAGAAAGAAAGAGAAACTAGTTTTATTTCGTTACATCATCTCTAAAACTAAGCACATTAGTCAAGTGAACAAATACGTGTATATTTAATTGAGTTGTGATCTTTTACTATCACGAATAAGCAAAAAAGAAAAAAAGAATTAATGTTCTATAACTACCATAATCCTTTCTCATCTATTGTTTAGATTCTGTTTTAATCATTATCCTTATATAAATAGGATGAAGTAAGAAGGCAAGACCTTAATATCAACACTTACTCATTTCTTTTCTTAAGGACGATGCTTTCTGCTGCTGCTGCTGGTAGTGAACCATCAACATTATCGGTCGCTTGTGTGTATATGTGTGTGCGTGTCGTCTTCTTATCGCCTCGTTGTTAATAGTAGTAACACACACATATACAAAGCACGATTGGGTCTTTTCTGTCTCTCTCTCTCTCTCTCTCTCGCCCTTTGTCTTTCTCTTTCTGCTCATTGCTTTATTCGTTCTCGGCGTCTGCTATAGTTATTGAGAATGTTTTCTTTTTCCCGATTGTTCCACCACGTTTCTCATCATCTATTTTTGAGTTCTTGCATTGAAATTTCTCGGTATGACTCGTTTTTTTATTCCGGCATGTCAAGGTCATTAGCTAGACTACATGTATATACATAATATGTTATTCCCATTGTTCTATCGTCATACGTTCAAGTCTATTGATTTCTTTTCCGTCATTCTTTTTTTTTTTTTTGTTTTTTTATATATTCCGAACTCCGGAAATACACGAACGAATAAAGAGAAAAAGAAAAATTTCCTCACAGCTGCCGTTTTAATACTGAACAGATGTTAAGAAGAAGGATATATCCACCTGCTGATTACTCAATCGATATTGCTCTTTTCTTTTACTCTTTGTCAAGCTGTGTAATTGATAGGATCATCATAGGAAACAACAGCAGTTTTCTACTCATCTTTCAAGCGAAACAAATTATTGGTCAATGACACTTTTGCTTGCTTTCTTGCGTCATTGATATTCACTCATCTTTTTATGTTACACAACGAAATCGATCAGTTGTGTGATATTTTTTAATTAATAAACAACGAACAAAAAAAAAAAGAAAAGAAAAGAAAAAAGCGAAGAAAAAGAAAGTTAATAGCTACTAAAAAAAAAAAAGTATGAAAGATATAATTACCTGGACGATGAAATTGTGGTGATTTTGTAAATGAAGCTATATGATCACCACCACCTCTTTTCATATAACCCATATTTTCTTCACCATTCAAATAACCAGATGTCAATATTCGATTTAGATCACTTCTACCAATTTGACTCGGTATTATTGTACCTATTGTATGTGTAAGACAGCTCTAATAAGACAAAAAAAAATGTCATGATGATTGTCAGTCAATGTATCAAATAATAATCATTTATGATTATAAATTTCATAGATGCATGTCTCGTTGACATGCTATATATCTTCTGAATAACGATTGATCGTTTACTTACTTTATGTGGATGTGATGAACTAGATAGATCACAGGGACTTGCTTCATTTGAATCATATAAAATTAAGGATTTATCTGATGGATTTTGAGTCACATCAACATGAATGTTATCATTTGTGAGATTTGTGTCATGTGTGTTCGGTGATACAATAGATAATGAATAATCATATGCATTATTTTCTTTATTTTCATTAATAATGGGTTCGGATTTTTTAATTTTACTAAGAATAAAAAAAAGAAATAGATTTTATGTATTAGAATTTCAAACATACGTTTTTCTTAGAAATGAAAACATGATGCCGTTCTAAAACAAAAAAAAAAAAGAATGAAGAGAGTTATTACACTTATATCTAATCTTCGTAGCAATCAAAAAATATCTCTTTTTGATAGTATGTATATTCTCTTAAAGTGTACAAACATTTTTTGTAGATATATATATATATATAGGCTTGACGACAATGAACGAAAAAGAGAATGAAAATATATGATGAAGCACCTACCGAATAGTTACTATCGTCGACTTTTTTCTTGCGTACAAAGTAATCGAAGAGAAAAAAGAAGAAGAAGCAGTATAATAATTGTCTTCTTTTTTTTTTTTTTTCTTTTTTTGAAATATAATGAAACAATATAATAAAAATGATCGACGCGACGATAGTTATGCTTCAATTAGACAATAATGAAGCACTTATAATTGAAAACACCAACACTACAATGAGTGATGATGAAACCAATGACAAATTTTAATTAGTATTGAGAAGATCCATGCATTTTATGAATGCTTCGATCTGCTCATTTACTGCTGCCAATAATGATGGCAGCAGTACCAACACCTAATACCACTAACAGCAAAGAGAACAGAAGTATAAAGGAGTATATATATATCTGGCAGATTTTTTTTTTCTTTTTCTTTCTTCGACCGGCGTCCGTTGATAAACAAGGAACGTAGTACTTTCTTTTTCTCATTTTTTTTCCTCCTTTTTTTTGTCGGACGACTATGTCTGTAGGATAAAGAGATCCCATTTATTCTAGTATGCATTATATGCATATGTTTTATGCCGATAGGTCACAGACATTCACATACATACACAGTCTGTTCATCGTTTCTCCCTTTCTTGATTTGTTTCGTCTTCTTATTCTTCTTCTTCTTCTGTAAATAAGAAGGGAAGGAAATAATGAAGTGACATACATGATGACAAAGAATAAAAGTATTCTACGGATTTCCTTTCGTGTCGTAGACATCAACTAAAATGCTATTTATATAATTCTATATCTATATGTATCAAATTTATTCATATATTTGCTTTAATTTTTTTTTTCAAAGAAAATGAATGATGATATATAAGTGCCTATCAATCTTATGCAAATGCATCTATGTTACGTATTAGTTATCATTGAATAAACGAGTATGAATTAGTATACAAATAAATTTTTTCATGCCAATCTCATCTAGCATACATATTAAGCACACTTGCATTTATCTGGCTTACCTGCTTAATAGATTTCTCAATATAAAATCATTGCTGTACAGATTTTCGATTGTATTTATCAAGGATAACGAGATTAAGAAAAAAAAGAAGAGAAAAAAAAAGTAATTGTAAATGAAGATGTCAAAAAAAAGGTTATCTATTCGAATTAATCATCGCCATAATCGTCTTCTATTATCCTTTAATAAAGAACAATATAAAATGATGTTCTATGAATGAAAATAACATATTGTCCGATGAAAACATATCATGAACATTTAATTAATTAATTTTCAAAACAAAAAAAAGAAATTCTTTAAAAATATTTTTACTGATTTCTAGTGACATCTCGATCATTTCAAAAATATAAACATAAATAAAAATAATCTCATATATCTCAACATTTTATCAGAATCTAAGAAAAAAAAATGTAAACCTATGAAATATGTTTTGAATGTTCTCATCAATAACCAATCATTAATCAGTATCGATCATCTATCTATATATATATATATTGTTGCTCAGATGATGATGATGATGATGTGTTGATGTAGAACAAGACGAAGAAGAAAAAGAAAAAAAAAAACAAAGTTCTATATTAATATTTTTTTAGATTTCTAGTTCATATTATCATGTTTATGAATTAAATAAACAAAATTAAATATCATGACTATATTTTCATCAAAAAAACCTTCAAATACTAATAAAGATTTATCATCAAATTCAACAACACAACAACAACAACAACAACAATCATCATCAAATATATCTCGTACACGTTTATCACGAGATGATGATAATACAAATAATATTCAAACAAATTCAAATGATGAATCAAATTTAGTATGTGAAAATAATCTTCCATCATCATCATTGACAACCAATACAATACTAACAACAACAACAGCACCTGTATCAAAACGTAAATCCCATTATCATCATCAAACAACAGTTAAACAAGCTCGACGACGTGGGAATTCTGTTGGAGAAAAATTAATCTCAAATTCATCAGTAACAAATGTTACAGGTAATAGTCCATCATCAAGTTTAACTATTGAAAATAATTTAACATCGAATACAAATTCCAATGAACATTTAACACAAACATCAACATCAACATCATCACTTACAACAGTTAATAATGATGAACAATGTAACAGTGAAGATGAATATGAACAAACAACAGTTAAATATGATAGAAATAATCTCAATGAAGTTTGTATTATTTTCGAATAAAATTTTCTTTTTTCTATTTAATTTTTTGTTTTAGCTTGAAATGCGTTTTGCTAGAGCATTAAAAGAAAAAAAAGGTTTTGTTATTAAAGCCGTTCAAGAAGATGGAGCATGTTTATTTCGAGCAGTGTGTAAGTAAAACAAATATATGAATTATTTCATTTTGTTAGAAACGTAATTTCGTAACATACAAAAAAAATGTTAATAGATTTCTCAATTCAAGTATTTCTTTTCATGAATTTATATCGATTAGATGTACATTGAATTATTCTAGATACCTTACAAAAAAAAAAAACATAGGTCTATTGACCCTTAATTTCGAAACATTATCATTGACAAATTAATGCTAGTCATGTGACATAAAAAAAAAGGGGCAAAGGTTTTCAGTGCGTGCATTTTTATTTACACATTTACAAGGTCATATAGTATTTTTAAAAACCTAATGGTATGTTTTGTAGAGGACCCCTTTAGACTACAAGAATATTTTCCACATACATACTTTATTTATTCGTTGACAACAGTGGGAATAAATATGCATATCTAAGTGACAAAGCTTTCTTGCAAATCTCGAGATTATAACAAAATAAGAATTCTTGTTCTGGAACGAAACCAAATTTCTATTAGATTGGTATTGTGGAAGCCTTTTTTGTTTTAAAGTTCAATCTTCTTGTTGAATCTCTTGAACATTTCTGTCATTGATAGTTTTTGAGTGTGTTTGTGATCAATCGTGAATCATGTTCGATTTATGCTGATTTTTTTTTTTTTTTATAAATAATAAATTTATCTTTATTGTGTTTTTTTATTAGCTGATCAAGTATTTGGTGATGAAGAAATGCATGCAACAGTTCGACAAAATTGTATGGATTATATTGTAAGTTGATAGATTTTTACAAACGAAAAACTGAACATATCTGTTTTTGTTTTTCTTATTTAGGTAAAAAATGCAGATTTTTTTCGTTCATATATAACAGAAGATTTTGATCATTATGTAACACGTAAACGACGGCAACATTGTCATGGAAATCATATTGAAATGATTGCTCTTTCAGAATTATATAATCGACCGATTGAAGTTTATGAATATAGTATAGGTTAATATGAAACATTAAGAATAATTGAATAATATTATATATATATATATATTTTTTTTTTTCTTTATTCTTTTAGAACCAATTAATATTGTACATGGAATGTATAAAACAGATAATGAACCTATTCGTTTGAGTTATCATTGTGGTGTTCATTATAATTCAATAATTGATCCTTGGAGACCGACAGCTGGTCATGGTCTTGGATTTCCTGATCTTGAACCAGGAGTATATAATTTAAAAAAAAAAATAATATTTAGTATTCATTTGTTTTTAATATATATGTATTTAATCTTTGATTTTAGCGTGCACAAGAAGCACTTATACGAACAGCATTGCGACAATCTGAAGAAAGTCATATTGAACGTGCTATGCTTGATGATAAAATAGCTGCAACTGATTGGGAAGCAACACAAGAAGAATTAATACAACAAGTAGCAAGAGAATCATATTTACAATGGTTATGTGATACTAATCAACAACATAAAGATAATAAAACGGTTCGTTACTGAATAAATATAATGTTCATTACTATTCTGTTCATTTGAAGTATTGTCTTTGATTCTGATTAAGATTATATTACAAAAAATTTTTTTTTCTTCAAAAGATAAGTTATTAGATTTATACAAATCGGAGGACATTTTTTTCGATAATATAGTATAATACATTTCGAATCGCTTAGAAATAAAAAAAAGAAACTTGATTTTCACTGATAAATCTTTGTATGTCAACAATTTGAGTATTTCCAAGAGTTTTATAGCGATTATCAAGGAAATAAAAAAGAAAAATCTTTTTTATTATTGTTATGTTAGATGCCATCTTCCAGTTCCTCACCAACATCAGCAACAACATATGAACGAACTTCAAATAGTAATCATGGTAAATTTAAATATTCGAAAAACTCATTTTGTGTAAAAAAAAAAACAAACATAATTTTTTCATATTAGGAAGCTCACCAAGAAACTTATTACCTTTAAGACTTGATGAACGAAAAGATTGTGAATTTGCTTTACCATTTAATTATGAATGTGATCCTTCGTCAAATCCTGGTATGTTTTTAAATTTAAATCCTTTACTTTATGTATAATATTCAATTTTTTAGATCTCGATGATGATGATGATTCATTAATGCGACAAGTTCTTGCCATATCACAAATTGAATATGTTGAAACATTAAAAAAACAACAAAAACCTCCGAAATCAGATGATCCAGATGAACCATCATCTTCATCAGACACACGTCTTTTGTAGAAAATGTTTTTTTTCCTGTGTTTTTTTTTCTTGTTCTTTTTTTTTTGTTAATTTATATTCTTCTCTTTCTATCCTACTGATATTTCTTGAAAAAAAAAAAACACAGAACATAGCATATACGAACAGGTAATGTGTGTGATGCACGTTTGAAAAAAAAAAAACAATTTTTTTGTTCTTTTCTTTTTGTTCTTTTTTCTCTCTTTTCTCTTACGTTTATGTCAATTATATCGGTGTGTGTGCGTGTGTGTATGTTTGGAATTAAACGAGAGTCATATTTCGGATGTATTTCTCTCGATTTTATTTCAGATAATGTCAAATAAAGAAATAAAAAATTGTAAACGTAAATTAAAATCTGATGATAATGATGATGAGATATGGTCGAAATTAACACGTGAACAAATTATTCAACGTTGTAAACAACTTGAAAAACATGTTGAACAATTAAGAAATACAATTATAAAAAAAAACGAAAATGAAACAAATGAAAAAAAAATTAAAAAAACTAAAATAATGAGACCATTTGATTTTAGTAAACATTCTAAACGACATATATTTCTAAAATTTATTTATCTTGGTTGGGACTATCATGTGAGAAAAAACAGTCAATATAGATTAAAATATAAGAAAATTGACCTTTCTTGTTTTGTTTTTTTTATCGAATAATTTCAGGGTTTTGTAGTTCAAGAAACAACATCACAAACAGTGGAAGATTTTTTATTTGATGCTCTTATTAAAACTCGATTGATTGAAGAACGTGCAACAGCTAATTATCATCGATGTGGAAGAACAGATCGAGGCAAGTTAATTTCCAATAAAAAAAAACAAACTGAAGGTCTTGTCTTTGTATAAGTCATGACGTTTTCATTAGAAACATAGAATAACAACATAAAACAGTACATATAACTATGACCTGTACCCAACTGTGTACAAGGCCATTTTGTTCTTACGAACAATAGGAGTCAGTCTGATAATTCTTTATAAAGCAATATGTTTCGACATTTACATCCTATCGCTTTTATAATGAAGTACGACCTATGACTCTTTTTTTTTTTATTATAATAGAATAAATTTAACCTATCTTTCTTCATTATCAATTGAAAATATAAAATGAAAATTCGTCTAAAAAGCATAAACTAAATATACTTCTTATAACAAGCTATTATTATTATGATTGATCATAGTCTAGATGAATAACAAAAGATAATATTATTTCTATAAATAAATAAAAATATTTTTTAAATCTATAGATATTATATTGATGAATATGAAATACTTCTATGTAATGATTTCCCATAAGTATACTAATAAAACATTACGAATCATATTTTTCCAGAGGGAATACGCTTCCAAAAACAAATGATATCGACTTTGAGTTTAATACCAAAAGCAAGCTCATAAAAAACAGGATTTAGAAGTATAATTAGCAATTCATAGACTGATTACTAACTAGAGAATTATTCAAAGTTCAAAAATTATCAGACATATAATTTAAAGACTATAATTAGTCAACCACGAAAGCTGAATATGTCTCAGCAAATGTTTCCTCTATCTGGTTTTATAGAGTTCTCTTTGTTCATTATTCCGATAAATTAACAACAGTATTAAACTCAAAAGACTATAAATATCGGATAGAAATATTTCAGAGTGTTCAGTATTTTGAACGTAGTATCGTCATTTATTTATCAAATTGAAAAAGTCTTTTTTATTGACATGGTTGGCAAAGAGAACTCTACAAAACGTGATAGAGAAAAAATTTCCGAAAGTTTAATCATTTTCTATAAAGTTGAATTTTGGAACTTTTGATATTTCTTCAGTTGATGAGCTATTGCTTGATATAAAATTCCATGTTGATATAATTTGTGTTTGAAAGCGTAACGTTCTTCGAAAAAATATTTTTTTTTTATAATTTTGTACGTTTATTTGTTTTATTTTTTAGGTGTAAGTGCATTTACACAAGTAATTTCATTAACTGTTCGATCGAAAATTACTGTAGAATGGTAGAAAGACTTTTTTTTTGTTTCGATATTATTTATTATTTTATTCTAGTACTGAAGAACTCAATTATGTACAAATGTTAAATGGTGTTTTACCTAGTTCAATTCGATGTATAGCATGGGCATCAGTACCCGATGGAAAATCTGCTCGATTTGATTGTAGATCACGATCATATCGATATTATTTTCCAAAGTAAAAAATCACTTTATATCTCGTTTGGTTTATTTTCTTTTAAATATATATATGTATAGAGCAAATCTTGATCTTCATCGAATGCGTCAAGCATCAGTTGATCTAATTGGTACACATGATTTTCGAAATTTTTGTAAATTAGATATTACAAATACAGAGCCAACATTTATTCGACGTATTGATAATGTAACTATTGAACAATTAAATATAGATAATGATTTAAATGGTTATAATTCTGGGTAAATTTTTAGAAAAGAAAATACTCAAAAACAAAAAAAAAAAAGAAAACAATTATTTTTTTTTTTTTATAGTTATGAAATGTGTGAATTAATGGTACATGGTTCAGGATTTTTATGGCATCAAATTCGTTGTATTGTTGCTATTTTAATATTAATTGGTCAAGGAAAAGAAGAAATCGATTTAGTAAAAGCATTATTTGATATTGAAAAATATCCATGTACACCAAATTATCAAATAGCTTCAGGTGAGACGATTTGTTTTTCAAAAAAATAAATAGTTTTAAATAATTGAATTTTCTTTTTTTTTGTTCTCAGAATTACCTCTAGTTCTATTCGATTGTCAATTTAATGGAGTTGATTGGATCTGTGATCAAGCAAGTCTTCGTATAACTATTTGTCATTTACAACGACAGTGGTCTTCATTTCAAATTCGTGCTACTATGATTAAATCTATGTTAAATAATCTAGAAAGTCAAATTTGTGACAAAAAACAATTACCAATTTTAGGACAATTATCTCTAATTGACAATGAAAGTAATTCATTGTTAGGATATAACAATAATAATAATCGAAGAAATTATCAACCAATTTTAACACGTCCAGTACGAGAAAGTGTTGAAGTTAAACTTGAAAAATATCAAAATAAAAAAGTTAAATCAGAAATAACCAATGAAGATAATAAAAATGAAACAAATCAATCAGATGATGTGGTTGTTTAAATTTTTTTTTTAATATGTTTTTCTTTTCTGTTTTCTTCTCAAATAAAATAATATTTGAGATTGGTTATCTATGTTTAAATAACTGATTAGTTTGTCATTATTTGATCTGAAACTGTAGTTACTGTACAAAGTGGATGAAAAAAACTTTTTTTTTTTAAGGAGGGATAACATTGTGATTTCAAATAAGATCAATAACAAATTTTATACCAAATTCAAGTGTATCGAAATTCGGATTTATTAATGTTGAATAGTAAGGATTATAGCAATGTTTTAGTGTCAAATTCAAGAAGTTCATAAAAACTTCATGCCATATCAGCAGAGAAAAATTTCTTTCATGAGACACTTCAAATTAGATGACATTTAAAATGATGAAGATCACAAAATATTAGATACCTAACCTGGAAATATTGAAAAAATAATAAATATTGAAGCTGAAGATTAACAGATATCAGAAACGGAACACAATCGTTATGATAAAGAAATTCTAAAAATCTCATGTTTCATTTTAGAGCTACCAGGCTGAAGTTTGTGGCTTGAAATCATGTGTAGCTAAGTTTTTTATTTATTGATCGATTGTGTTTAGAATTGGTATTATAGATTTAAAATATGTTCGTAAAATTTAAGTACCAATTTTAAAAATGAAACTTTTTAATTCTAAGACCAGCAATCGCTGCATGTCTCGTTTTCCATCATTTTAAGTGAATCATATCCTAAACAGAATTGTGTACGTATCAGATGAGTGTATCCTTCATTGAATGACAGTGATGCATGTTAATGATAACAACTTTTTTCATCAATTCTAGTTTTGTATTAAATACAAGGCTTCATATTGCCATTCGACTTTGAGAGTTTGGATGAACTCAAAAAGACACATCTACTCTTGATGGTAGATAATTTTTTTAAAATTCATTTCATCTTTGTAGCTTCACATGGACTTGTAATTGAACCAGAGTTTGCCTCAATAAATACAGAAAATAAATACATAACAGGAATAGAACTGACTATTTATACAATTCAAATCTATATGATTTAGTATACAATTTTACTGCCGTGAAACAACATTGATGGTATTAGAACTGATTTGAAAGCATAGATTTATTGTATAGAGCAGATTTGATTTGTCGTCCAATTCTGTATTTTTTTTTTTAATTAGCAGAGTTTTTACTTTCATCATCTCAATGTCGAGACTACGATGAGAGAATAAGAAAAAAAATATATGACTTATATTGCGCAATTTTTTTCTATTATGTATTCACAAAAGTCTGCAAGCCATGTCAGTCATGATTTATTTGTGTTGAGAGCTTAACTACTATTGATTTACATATGACAAGCGAAATAAATTATAGTCTGTGATCTTTAATCATTTATTTGATTCATTAATAAATATACATACAGAAAAAAAAGACTGAATGTTACACTTGACTATGATTAATATCATTTACATAACCATTTTCTTCAAATAATGCATCAGAACTCTAAATAAAAGAAATAATAATATGCAGAAAATCTATTTATAAGTTATTTGATCGTTTTACTTGAAAATTATCTCTTCTAGGAAACTGTAAGGAAATTTTTATTGCTGCTGCTTCGTTCAAATGAATACCAGCAATACTAAAACGAAAAAGAAAAAAACAAAATAAAGTAAAAAAAAAAAAAAATTATCCATTGAACCTTAATCGCATATTTCGTCTCATAACATCAACAAAATTATTCTAAACAAACAATAAATTTTATATGTTGTTTTTTTTAAAGTCTTCATAAAAAAATAAATTCACTTTTGTTTGTTTGGCTTCATTATTTGCTTTGACAAAAAATTCTAATACTGCAATTAAAATAGCTAAAGCTAAACCACCCATTAATATATAAAATATTCCAGCAACATTTGCTAGACTAAGTGCATTATTTTGTTTCGATTCCTATATTCATATTGCAAAATTATAAAGAAAATTTTTAATTAAATTTATTTTTTAAATAAACCTTTGTTGTAGCACTATGACATTCAGATCGGTCATACCACCATTTTTTTTTCAAATCATTTAATATACCATCTTCACTCATTTCAAGTATGGCTATATTAATTGCTTCTCTAGAAAACGAAATAATTTTAACATAAAATAATTATATCATCCTTCTTTCTTTTTGTTTTTTCCTCACCGTAGTTCTGAACCAACTGGTGTTGCTATTCCATAACCTTTAGAATCTAAATTTAAACCTATTTTCATTGTATTACAAGGTAATCGTTCATTGATATATTCATTTTTAGTTGACTGTTTTTATATAAAAAATAAAATATTGTATAGATATTTATTTTCTATTTATTTGAACTTACTTCAAGTAAAAATGCATATTTTCCTTTGGCTTTTCTAAATATTATTATATTAGAAATGAAGATATTATCAAAACAAAATCAGAATATTTACCGAACTTTACTAATACCTTCTTCATTACTAGCAACTAAAACATCATCACTTTGTTGCATATATGTCCACATACGTTGAAAAAGTTTAACATCTGATTTCTAATTAAAAAAAAGAAAGAAACGAAAGAAAACGAATGCTTTTAAATTAACACATTAAGTAAGAACTACTTCGAAAAATACTTGTGTTGAACCACCACGAACAATACCATATTTTATATCTGTTTGTCTTGCAAGATCTTCGACACTTTCAATTGGTGTTACCATTCGTTTAACTGTTAGAAAAGCAGCTACAAAAATCAAAAAATAATAATATTTGCTTTCACAGTGTAAAAAGTATCTGTTCTATGTCTCTTTTTACTAACCCCAATTGGCAGTATATGAAGCAACAAGAATCATCGAAAAATACCACCATACACTGGCAACCAATCGACCTGATATTGATCTAAACAAAAAAGAATTAAAAATCAATAGCTGGAATGAGAATTTCATGATTATTGTGAATATATATATTTGGAATTTGCTTTTCTAGTTTGAAGTTTATTCATTAAGAATCTGTCACAGTTCAAATTATACGAAAATCTTTTTACACATCGGATAAATAAATTTTGAACCGACTCTACATGCATTAAGTCGAATCAAAACAACTATGAATACTCTAAAAAGAGTTCGTGTCCTTAGCTTATTGCTGCTGAGATACTGCAATATAACGTCAGTTTTTAAATGGTTGCTATGGTCTCCTCAGAAACATCAAGAAAACGTTTTTTTTTAATTTCGATTTGAAACTTTGTACAGAGGCAGTTTTCAACGAGAAGAGTTTTTCACTGATATAGTTTATAACAAAAGATTCGGATAGAAGCAAATAAGAAGCTCTGACATTTTCACAATAAACTACTCTTGTGATGCCCTATCTCTACACAAATTTTCAAGTCAAAACTCGTAAATGAGTTTTTCCTGGTGTCCTTATGCGGGACTATGATATTTATTTAACAACTACGGTAAAATTTGTAGTAACTACACAGCAATAAGATAAAGGTCTAAACTCATTAGGATCTACATAATGCACATAGTCTTAACTCAAAAAGTGATTAATCAGTTAGTAAATTTGTCTCGTCAGTCTTGTCATAAGAATAAATTTATTTACATACAGATAAAACTTGTTAAAAAAATAAATTTACCTTGGTATAAAATCTACACCTTGTTGCATGAAAGCCGCCAAAGCAAAAAAGAGTGTATTTAGAATAGAAAATTTATTTGATAATTGTAATGTTTCTTCATTTTTCATACTCCATTCATATGGTGAAAAACGTGAAACAAGAAAAAGTATTACACTAACACCAATATATGCAAATGTAATACACATCCAAATTTCTTTTGATAATGGTTCCATAAATGAAAAAACACCTTAAAACAAAAGAAATTAAAATTAAATAAAAATCAAAAAAAAAAGATTTATATATAGATGTTTTTTTTTAACCTGGTTTACGTTTTTCTTGTTCACCAATCAAAATACTTATACCAAGATTCATCCATGGTTTACTAAAATCTACTGCATTTTCTCGTTGACTTGTTATTGTTAATGGTGCAATAGCAAGATCAACTTCATGTCGAACTAATTCTCCAATCATTCCTGTCCATGGTTGATCATTAGCTGGTTTATTACCAAATGAATTATCTTTTACAATACGAAATTTACATGGAATTTCAAGTTTTTTTTCACATATTAAACGCGCTAAATCAACACAATAACCATTTAATTCATTAAATGTAAAATATTGACCAAGTGCATCGGATACAGTTAAATTTCCAACAACACTTCCATTTAACATTGCAAATGGTTCATCCTAAAAAACCAAAAAAAAAAGGAAATTGTTTTTTTTTGTTTTCTTAATAAACACATGAAATATTAATATATACAAGAATTGTTGAAATGATTCGTTCTCTTCCTTTATCAAAATCATGTGCTTGACGACCTTCAACTACACTAAGATTATGTAAAGAAAATTCATCACGTGTAAAATTGCCAATCTTAAAAATTATTAAAACAAAAATAATAAAAAAAAAAAGAAATATTTTTAGTTTTTTTTTTAAATATTATTTTATTTTTTTACATTTCTTGGTAATCTATTCATGGTTACTTGATATATATTTAAAGTATAATTAATACGTTCACCATATTCATTAAATGCTACATAACCAGAATATCCATCAAATGAAACCTAAAGAAAAAATTCTTTTGTGTGTGTGTGTGTGTTTTTTTATTGAATTTTACTGATTTCATAATATTGAACAATTCTTCACCGAATAATTTATGTTGTCGTCGATTTTCTTTTATTCGACATTGAATTTTTAAATGATCAAAATTATCATCATCAGAATCAGAATAAACAATTTTCGAACGAATTCGATCATCTAACAACATTATTGCTCGCATATACATAGATAAAGCATCAGCTAATGCTTTCTTTTCAAACTATGCCAAAAAAAGAATTCAATTTTTAGATTTAGTCAAAATAAAAATTCATACTGATGGAAGAGATAATCGATCAGCGATTGATCCATCTAATGATTGATTTATTGTATAAGGTGATTTTGGTACAAAATAAGTGACATTTACACCACCATAACGAAAAGTACGCATATCAATTCGATCGGCGTCCTAAAATATAATTATACCATATTTCTTATTCATTTCATTGAACTTACTAGACTCATTAGTATGTAATGATAATGAGGTGTTGTCATTGCATGATGTCGAATCTAGATAAAATATAATCAAATAAAAAAAAAAACAAAGTGTATGTAATCAATAATTCAACTATCTGGTGAATGTACTCATTTAGAGCAAATTCAAGAAGTTCTAACAGAGACAAGAGAGAGAAAGAGTAAGTCTAATATAACAGCTATTTTTTTCAAAGTTTTTGAATCAATTTTTTTTTTTGAAAATAAATCTACTTGGTGAATTGTTTACCATGAATTTTTAATAATCAAATATACATTCAGACCGATAATTGAAGATCTCACAAAACTATAAAAAATTCAAAATAGCTTGTTCTAATAATTACTAATCAGAAATATCATTTTTTTTTGCTTTTGTTTTTTGATTAAAAACAGAATACTTTTTTGGATATTTCTTTTTAGAAAAAAAATTTAGATCACATTCATGATTCTTCATTTTTGCTTTCTAAAAGTGAAAATTGCAAATTTCTATCTTATTTCTATTTATAGTTATTTAAAAAATATTCGAACATCTTTTTCCTTTGTCACAGACATTAGTTTTATCAAAACAAACATTTCTTTGTGAAAGGAGGAAGTTCATTAAGCGATGGAATCGATTCTATTGCGAAATTGAATTTATCATTTTCCAGATAATCAATTCAGAATGTCAGAAGTCAATTGTAGGTCGAATTAGACCGTTAGACGTCATTCTGGTTGCGTGCGACTGAGTCAAAACTCAATATTGTATATCTTTGATAGCTTCCTGTTTTTCTCGTGTCTTCAATTGATCTGATTTGAGTTATATATTAAATGAAAGCTTTTTCTCTTCTCTATCAATGACATATATGAATATGATGAAATATTATTCTTTTCCTATTTTCTTCATAGAACATTGTTCGTTCATACAACTACTATGAAAACAGCCATGGTTAAATGCTTCGTCTTTTGAACTATGATTTACTATGAATTATGTATTAATCGATAAGCTCTACAAAATGATACTATTACCGAGAGCTCGATTTGTGGGCATATATATATATATCAAAAAAATTCTTTCAACAACTTTTATTTTTGTCGAAATATATGCAGCTCTAGTTCTTCTCAGACTTCCATCAACAAATATAAAATTCAAACTGACGTTTTGATTGACTTTAATTTTTCGATGTAATCCGAAGAGAGACTAGAGCTAAAATTTTACACGAAACTTGAAGTTATTGTAGAGTCTTTTGACTCAGTTTTTTCATGTTGATTATAAATATACGATTTATTTTTATAGGAAGCCTAGTTTTTTTAGAGCGAAATTTGTCAAGTATCAGTCAATAAGGGTAATTTTTTGGCACGCATGCATATTGTGTATTTGACTAACGTGTCTTGTTCTCATTCAACGTAATACTATCTTTTTGTAGAGTCTATCGAATGATATATATAATTCAAAGTTGATGATTACTTTCACAGCTCAATAAGAAGAGAATTTTACCATAGCTATTCTTATACTGTTTATGCGAAAGAAAAACATCATCTGAAGCAAAAACGGAAAAGAACAATATTTTGTCCTACTCATGTAAAAGAAAGAGCTTTCATTTGGTATTAACTCAAATTAAATCAATGAAAGACAAGAGGAAAATTTTTGATAGAAACATTACACACTGTGAACCAATAAAGAACAGATAATATGGAGTTGTTGAATCAGTCGAACGCAGTTACAAGAACGTCGAACAGTAATTGACTTTTGACATCAGAATTAAGAAGACATAAACTCAATTTTAAGAGTGATCTAATGTCATCGTTTGACGACTTTCTCTTTTTTTCTTTTTAATTATAATATTAGTTGAAAAAATGGTGAAATATTCGAGAAATATTTCATAGTATGTTTACTATCATAACATATAAAAAGAAAGCTTCTTTAATATTTCTATATGTTATTGAAATACTTCCGCTACTACTTTCGATATGTTCTTAATAGTTTTAATATATTTTGTTTTTCATAGTTCGCAATATTTGTCGATTGAACTCTTTGATTTTGAATAGAAAGTTTAGAAAAATAACTTTTACTGTTTATCATAATGCAATGAATATAAATGATTTTAATCTTACTTGCATTAATAATTTAATATAACTATTGATATTATCCAAATCAAGTACAATATAAAGTTCTTCTTTTGAACCTCGATCTTTAATTTCAATACTTTGAAGTAAATTTTCTGTATAATTAGCATTTGTAATATCAATTAATTGACGACCTTGAATATCTAAAATATCATAACTTTTTTCTCGTGCTTGTGCAACTATTAATGTTTGAAAACGTTCAAATGCTTCATCACCTTCCATAATATAAAATAATTTTGTTATTTTATAACGTTTTATAAATGCTACTAGAGCTGGTAAAAGATCTATTTTCATTGTTAAATGATAAATTTTATTTAATAAAGTTAAATCTTGTTTATTATAATTTAAATAATTTAAAGATATCATTGAAATATGTAAACGTGTCATAAATAATTCCAATAAATGTGTTTTAGGATTATCAATACTTGATATTGAACCAATTGCACCAGATTCAAGACGATTACAAACTAATTAAAAATAAATATTATTATTCTAGACATATTCTCAAATCAATTTTCTTACTTTGATGAATACTTGAATAGATATTTGAATCCTTAAAAAAGAAAAAAGAAAAAAAAGGAAATTTTCATGTTCATTCACTATGTAAGTTTCTCATTTGATACTTACGCTAA